TGTGAGTCAAATCGACTCACCGACTTACAAATTGGCTAAACTAGTAGCAAAAGTACTCTCACCACTCAGAGGATTAACAAGAGCGTTCACAAAGGACTCTTACCATTTTGTCAATGAAGTTAAACACCTAAAACTCATGGACAATGAAACAATGGTTAGTTTCGATGTACAGTCTTTATTTACCAGCCTACCAGTGGAAGACTGTATTGAAATAATATCTAGGAAGCTACTAGATCACAACATGTCAATAGAATACATTGAACTCTTAAAACACTGCCTAACATCCGGCTATCTACTGTGGAATGGTGAATTCTACAGGCAAGTGGATGGAGTAGCCATGGGTTCGCCAGTCTCCCCCGTCGTAGCCGACATCTTCATGGAGGACTTCGAGGAGACTGCTCTGAACACATCACCCGTGACCCCTCGTTTCTACAAGCGGTATGTAGATGACACTTTTACAATATTACCTTCTGATAAAATAACTGTATTCTTAGAACACCTTAATTCTATAAATCCTAAAATTCAATTTACAATGGAATTAGAATCGGACAAAACCTTAGCTTTCCTAGATGTATTAGTTAAACGTAACCCAGATAACACCTTGAGTCATACTGTGTATAGAAAGAAGACCCATACTGATAGGTACCTGAACGGTGAATCTCACCACCATCCTTCACAGTTAGCTACCGTGGGAAAATCTCTGTTTCAGAGAGCGCGCGGGATCTGTGACGAGCAACACCTGGCCGGAGAACTGCAACATGTCAAGCAAGTTCTGCGTGACAACAAGCTGCAAGTGCCGCGCCTGCGTCACAGTGACCGAGTGAAACCAGCCACAGTCGAGCGCGTCCCTGCAGTCTTGCCATACATGAAAGGAGTCACTGACAAGATTGGCTACATTCTAAAGCGAGCTTCAATTAAAACTTACTTCAAGCCGCCAAAGAAAATTAGTCAGTTCTTACCACCTGTCAAGTGCCACATCCCTCTACAAGATGCAGGAGTCTACAAGCTTGATTGTGATTGTGGGCTCTCTTACATTGGGCAAACAAAACGATCCATTAGAACCCGGGTCAAAGAACACATAGCTGATGTGAAGCACCGTCGCAATACAACATCTGCTGTCTGCAAACATAGCCAGGACCGCCCAAGCCATTATATTCGTTTCGATAGACCTCAAATCCTGGCGAAAGAAAACCGATATCGCCCTAGAATGATTCGAGAAGCCATAGAAATTAAAAAAACATCCAAATTTCAATAGGGAAGATGGCTGGGTACTACCATCGTCATGGGATCCTGTTATTAATATAATAAAATCAAATAATAAATATAAACATAACAGACAGGCAGATGTAGTAAGTTCATACTGTGTAGATCAAAATGACAGCTTATCAGATTAATATTTTTCATTTGTAAAAGTATATATTAATAGTGTTGCTTAGTAAGTTGTTTTTAAATAATAGCAAACTAAATTAAAATGATTATCCGTAATTAATTTTAACTTTTTAAATTACACATAGAACAATTATATGGCTTTAATAATTAATACTATATTTTTTATATTTTTATTTATGGTTATAAATATAATAATGGCAACACTAAATATAGATTACTAATTAATATTTTTAAAATTGTAATAATTATAAAAATAATAGCAAAAATTAAATAAATAATTTTCCATATTCAATTATAATTAAAATTATAAAAAATGTTTAAAGTTAAAAATATTGTAATGTAATTGGTGCAATTTTCATTTTGTTAATTGTGGGTAGGCTGTCTGTAACAACTATATCTTTAAGACATGTAACACCTCAGTCTCTCCCGTGACCATGGATGCTGTAAAGCATTCGAAACGTCGGGAACCAAAAATCAAAATAAATCCGCGAAATAATCCGAAAAGATAGTTTTATTTTAAAAATGTCAAACATTCGCGTAAATCTAAGAAAGTATTAGCGTGTAATATGTTAGGTATGTAAAAGTTTTTAGATATTATTCTTGTTTCTTTAACTTCTATGCCCATCGTGCGTAAAACACTCTATAGTGGTCTTTATTCGGCACTGAAAGGATTATTAAACACTCAGCTTTTATAACCATTTTTTCCACCAAAATCTTCTCGTCTAAAAGCTTGTATACTAAGTAATTCATAAATGTAAAAGCTTGTATCAAAAATTTTGGTTAGAGCTTTCACTGTACTTCAAAATAAACAATCTCGAACTCCTTTTACCTTATAAAATTATTTTATACATTTAAAAACCATAACTAGAAAATCTTTACATGTGAAAATATATGTATTTGTTAGATTGCTCTTCTTTCAACAACAAGGTGCTGATGATTTCATGTGACTTTTTGCTAAAAATAGTTAATAGGTTCAATACTTATCCTGCTTTATAACCTCAAATATTCTAAAAATATTTTTTTTTTTTAAAGATGCATCTTTTGACCAAAGTACGTCTTCTCATAAGTTTAGTTAGCAAGTTATACTTTTTACACATTCTCCACTCTAAATGTACAGAATCGGTCATTTATCATTCATTCATTTGTAATTGTAATGCAAACTATCTGTAGCGGCTGATCAAATTTGCATGCCTTAGGGTGTCGCCAACTATAGATATAAATTTCTACGCTATGATATTCTGCTTGGAATATTCTATTTGCAAATAGGAGATCTGTATTATTATGTACATGATTCTAGTTGAAAGTATCAAAAATAGTGGGTCAATTCCTATCTAACTTTTGCTCGGTTGTTGGTGTTGCTATATTCAAACGAGCACGTTTTTAATTAAGCTAGTGTTCACCGAGTACTTGAAATTTAACCACAATTATTTTTATTAAAAATTTAAAGATAACATAATAGCATTTACCTATTCATATAAAAAAATAACTGTTTCCGTTTTTAATTTTTTTTATTAATTACCCTAAAACTCGACAATAGCTGCTACTAAAAAAAAAATAGATAGACGTAGAAAAAAAGGTACTGAACGGTTTTGTCTTAGTCTAGTTATGTATACGATACGTTTGGCTCTGTTTGTAGTGACCCTACTTGCTGTGCCAGCGGTTGCGGGTTCGAGTTTCGCTACAGACATTGATTTGTGTGACGATCACGAGTATTTGTTCTCTAATCATGGGTGTTTATATTTATAATATGTATGTATTTAAAGTTATATATGAGTAGTGTAACAACTGTCTGGTATCCATAACACAAGCCTCGTAGCTTCCCATGGAAATAGATGATGCTATATGTTAATGTCCCAACATAATAATTTATTTATTTATAGATAAAAAATACTACATGCAAATGTGAGGTAAAATCCGTAGTATCATACCAGTTCTGTTTAAAATATTATAGTAAAGACCAAGTAAAATGAGGAGCAATCACTAGTTTTTGATAAGTCCGGCGGTGTGAGCAAAAACGTGTTATTATACTTTTACTGTTGACAGTACTCGCAGTATGCTTTTTCATAGGACTACGGCCACGGAGTATGAATACGCTTTGCAAACTAAAATTTTGTTAGCATTTCATCTTTGGTGTGTTTTTGTGGTAAATAAAATGTTTGTACATTTTGTTTAAATTCTTCTGTATTTTTAGCCAATAATTTTTAATCCTTACTGATTATATTACACTAGGTATTATTATGAAGGTGTATGTTTGTATGTGTGTTTGTTTGTTTGTTTATTTGTGTGTGTGTATCTTTTACGCTAAAATAGCTGGATAGATTTGGATGAAATTAAGTATTCAGACAGACTATGATGTATAATACTGTTAAAATTTTGTGTGTATATTCATTACCCTAACTAATAAGGGTGGTCCTCCCTAAAAATTTACTTTTTATTTTTTGGACAAAAAAAATATTATTTTTATTCTTCATGTATCGGCATTAAAAAATACATACAAATATAAATTTTGCGTATAGATAAAAAATGAGTAATAAAATATAGACTTTCATATTTTAAATATTCTTAAGGTAGAAGAGACATTATTATATAAATGTATTATCTAAATTTTATTTATGGATAAATAAAAATATTTAAGATTCCTCACAAAATTACACGGAGCGTTATCATACAAAAGTAACACAAATTCTCATACGTTTTGTTAACTTTATTTAGATGGCGGAAAATTGCATTTAATTTATATTTTCAGATTAAGAATCGAACTTGCGCCCATTGAATTAATATGAAACAAAATAACAACTATTTAAAAAAAACTTCTTTCATGCTATGATTTTGTTAGATGCAATAGAAAAAAGGATACCATCAGCGTCCTTAAGTCAAGGGCTATATAAAAAAGGGTTGGATGGATCATAAAGTTACACCTAGTATTATTATCTCACCCACTCTTGTAAGTTACATGCCCTTAGATGGAGGGTAAAAAGTGTTTTGAACGCGTTTCATAAAAATAATAAGTAGTTCATATACTTTACTACTGTTGCCTATATACTAACGTATATTTTTCCTCAAACTTAGGTGTCTTTGGCTGTTCTTTTGGAGCTTCTTGATGTTTAGCTCAGTTTGTAGTGTCTACTTGCTGTGCTAGCGGTCGCGGGTTCGAGTCCCGCTGGGGCCATTCATTTGTGCGGTGAACACGTTTGTTTGTACTTCATTCATGGGTGTTTATATTTATAATATGTATGTATTTAAAGTTATATATGTGTAGTGTATCAACTATCTGGTATCCATAACACAAGCCTCGTGGCTTACCATGGATCTAGATGGTGCTGTGTATTAATATCCCTACATATTTAAAAAAAAAGCTTTATTTCCCTTAGACACCGGGTAGGATTTCGAAATAGTATTTGCATGACAAAAAAACATTTTATTTCTACTAAAATCAAACCCGCGACGTCTTTGGTATTAGGCTATTCCCATGCTACATCACTAGTATGAAACGCAACAAATACAAAACTTAAAAAAACATTTTAGCGTTTTAATAAAATATTTTTATAGAATAAATAATAGAAAATATAAAATTATCACAAATATTTACAAATCAATTCACCTTTAAATTAACTTTCTAAAGTTATTATTCGATTTTTAACTGGACGTACAATTTTTGCGTAGTTCGTCTTCACTCCACCCACAATCGGCTTGTACTTACCGATCGCCACTTGTCGCGTCGTGAATATAATTTTTTGCTTCTCAGTAGTAGTAGCTTCTTCATAATGATTATGTTTGAGACCTAAATCATTCGCTCGTTTCCTTAAAACTATTTCGAAACTTGACAATTTCATATTCTTCTTCTTCAATGGTACAAGAAACTTCTTTGATTTTCCTTTATTCAGTCTATCTTTGTTACGATTTTTATGTTTGTTCTTAATAGAGCTATCGACTTTAATTTTGTACACTATATAAAGATTTTTATTGGAAGCCAGATTTTTTATGTCACTAACATATTTGCTGAATTCAGTTATAGCGTTCTCTCCTCTTACTTCAAACCGTTTCGGGATTTTGGTTAAATGGCCTACTTGATTTCTGTGATGTTCTGAAAGGTAAAAATATGCAAAAATGAACAATATATATGCAGCATTTGTAAAAGATATTGGAATTTTTAATAATATTTAGAAGAGTAATATTAAAGTGAAAGTATAATAAAAGGCATAAATACATGTTTTGCTTTTATTCAATCGTAAATTACGAAATTCAAGGGAAGATTAATTTCAAAAATTTCCATCATATTATTTATAACCTTTTAACCTTTTATAAATTAAGGCAAATTTCCTCGTGGTGAAAAAAAATTATCACTTTCCACTCAATAATTATAACATTTACAGTATATTGTGTAACAAACAACTGTATGGCCAACGAAATAACTTCCCAACACAAGAATAGAACCCGCACGAAAATATATCTACCACTTGTACACATTAAGTTCATGACACAAAGTTATTTATATATATATATATATATATATATATATATATATATAATAAACACATATGTTGGGACATTAACACACATCACCATCTAGTTCAATGGTAAGTTACGAGGCTTTTGTTATGGGTACTAGGTAATTGATACACTACACATATACATATAACTTTAAATACATACCTACATATTATAAATATAAACACCCACTGGAGTACAAACATTCGTGCTCATCACACAAATGAATCACCCCAGCGGGATTGGAACCCGCGACCGCTGGCACAGCAAGTAGGGTCACAACAAACTGAGCCAAACGTATCGTTTGATAAAAGAGGTGTATTATTAAAAGTATAGATATCTCACCTTCATAATAGTCTTGCGCAGAAACCCATCGTAAAAGGAAAAATGTAACGACTAACGCGAAATTATTATATCTGCCGAGCCCCATGGTAGCTGTACCTAACAATATTTTCCAAAGCATGATTTATATCGCCTCAGGTGGTATTTATTGGAGAGTAAAAAATATAAAAAAAAACATACACAATGGCGTTTGTCCATTGAAGTTGATTAACCTTAATGGTCGCGTCGTTTTGATTATTTTATATGGTATTTCGCAGGTGCAGTATTGTTTTGCTATCTCGAAATTTATACCATACTAGCATTGCCCGCGGCTCCGCCCGCGTTCAGATGACCAAAAAGCACATTCTTAGGTTTTACATATTAGTATACTCTTACTTTGCAATTTATGTACTTTTTCTCAGGAATGAGATATTTTCCCGCGGTAAAAGGTATCCAATATGTTGACCCGGATAACCAACTATCACCATACCAAATTTCATCAAAATCTGTCCAGTGGTTTTTCACAGACAGACAGACGGATAAAAATTCTAAAAACCATAGATTTGGACTCTGTATCGATAATAATGTCTATTTCAATTAGATTTTCCAAAAAATATTTAATGTACAGATTCGACTTAGAATTTTATTATATGTATAGATTTCGTAGGTGCAGTATTGTTTCGCTATCTCGAAATTTATACGATATTAGCTTATAAAAGTAAGTAATACAGATAAATTATATTTATGTATGTTTACTGATATAGATATTTGGTGTAGTGCATAGCATGTAGGCTGTTGATTTGTAGATTCTGGGTTCGACTCCTGGGTTAGGCCAAACATATTTTCTATACATATAAAAAAAATCTAAGTGGGTCGAATGTGTACATTAAATGTTTTTTTGAATATAATTAAATGGAAATTCGTAAAAAACGAAGTATTTTATAATATTTCTTGGGTACTTACATACCTACATTTACTAAGTTTTTTGTCAAGAAATAATTGGCTTAGATATATGTAAAATGTAACAATGTAAATTTATTTCTATGATAAAAACATATAAGTATTATTTTTGCTTAAATTCGAATATTTCAGTTTCAGGTGATTTACTACGTCATGAGTCATGACGGAGAAGTCATTCATACTCTTAGTGACACTTCTTCGCCTTTCACTTATTATTACTATTACTTATAATTCTTAAGTAACTGCGCAAAATTTATTTTTATTTATTTATTTATGTACCAGAAAAAAAACATAGAAGTGAAAACGGAAACGGAATGTGTACAAAGGGTGACTTATCTCTTAAAGAAATCCACCAGAAACCCTCAAGCGTGAGAAAATATCAAAATAATAATGCGGTGCGGTGTAGGTACAAACTACAAACATCAATTATAATATAAATATACACATATACAAACATACGTACATATTTACATAGATACTTACATACATACATACTTACATACATACATACACACACTTCAAGAAATAAATAATAAGGAAATCACGTGGAAAAAATAATGTTACAAAAGTAAATTACTTTTAGCACTTTTACCTCAAAATATTTTGGGAAGTTATAAAAATTGAGATTTCTATAGATTTAGAGTTAATCCTTTTTTTCCTCTTATATCGTGTCTTTACTACTCATTGTAATAAAGCATATTGGAAAAATGGCGCCTGAAAAAGTTTGTGGCAATATCTCTTTTCTGACTTATTCTCGTATAAGAATAGCTGTTATACAATAAATGGAAATATTTTTAGCGCAGGAATGCCTCAAATACTGTTAGAATATGACAAAATATTTTCACACTACCATGTTGTAGTGTAAGAGGCGTAGATTTTTATGGTGTTTCATGGTAAAAATTCATGAGAATACCAAGTAGAAATTTAAAGGCAGTTGGAAAGTAAAAAATATAATAATATACTATTTTCCCTCTATCGCTCTAAGATTGACAAAATATCATTAAATTTTATTTTAATAAGAATGTAATGTTAATACGAGTTTTACGAATTACTACATAAAAGGTTTAGTGATTTTGCACTAAATTGAAATACATCATAATTAATGAATGAATATTTAAACAAACACACACAGAAAAGCCTCAAACTGAAAATCTGTTTCAATAACTACATCTGAAAAACGATAACTTAAATATAAATAAAACATATTATAAAAATTCTATACTTTATACTAACTTCTGATCGCAGCTTTGCTTGCATAGTTTAATCATATACTTTAAGGGAGTAATGATAGATATATGCTTTAAAATCTAAAATATTTAAGAACAGGTACTTCCACAGACAAGCGCGCCAAAAAAACAAACATGGAAACGAACAAATGATCGCAAGAACAAACGAACGAACAAACAAACAAACAAAAAAAAAGAAAAGTCTCTCACCGTGATTGCTGTAAAGCAAAAAAAAAAAGCAGATCAAAACGTCGGGAACCAAAAATCAAAATAAATCCGCGAAAAAAACCAAAAAGATAGTTTTATTTAAAAAAAAAGAAAAATTCGTCAGTTTAATAATATGAGTCAGAAATTAACTAAATATTTGTTTAAAGTTTAAAACTAAGCCCATTACTAAAATCCGAATATTGCGATATTAACTTATCTAAAGTAAACATTTCATACACAAGCATGTAGAACATTGACGCCTGCAGCTATACGTGAAAATGAGATAAATTAAGATGATACTCCATTTCGGTTAATTAAACTAGATTAACTTGCCATTTCTAAAAGTAGGATAATACTTTATGAATACTATGGAAATCTATACCTTAATAAGGTAATGCTTAGATATCTAGACTAAAACTCAACCATAATAATGATTGAGATCAAAACGTATTATGTTTGTATGAACTTTTATTTTTATATTTTTTTTTATTCTATGTACTAAAGCAAAAAAAATGAAAATCGGTTGATAAACAAACAGAGGAGAAAAAGATTTGTATGTTTTGTCGTTGCCTATTTATTTATTTATATATACTGAGAGACATTATGAAGCTGATGTGTTTTTTTCCATCTATTGGACTATTTTATGACTACTTCATGGAAACTCTTACTCAATTAGAACATTTTTTATATGTGTTATGTTCAAGAAATTTTTACCACTTACATTTTAACTCGCAGAACCCGCGGCTTCGACAACTTTCAATATGCAAAAAAAAACTCCTTTGCTTTATGTTACTAAGCGACTCATCCTCCCTTCGCTCGGGTTCGTCCCTATGTATTTATATAATATTAAATTATTTGGATATTGTTCATACAAAAATACTAAAATCGCCAATAAAAAATGGGGGGTGGGGGTAGGAGGGTGAAAAATACTTTACAATCGCTTCATACCTACCAAATATATAAAAAAAATCATTAAAATCGGTCGAGCCGTTTCGTAGGAGTGCGACAACAAACACCGCGACACCAAATATTTGTATATTAGATATAATCATACCGATTTTAATGTTTTTTTAATGAAAATATTACTATTTAAAAATAAACTAAAAACATCCAAGAAAAGTTTTTGTCCCTTTACTTTAATGATGCAAGAATTATGCTAAAAACTGAAAGAAAAAATACTCTATGTAATAGAATAGAGCAGTAAAATAGAACCCATATCTTCCTTCATATCATCATTAATAAACTCACTAAACAACTTCTCTTAGTACTTTTATGAAGTTGGGTAGGTATAGTCTAGTCGACAAGTTGAAAATGGTACAAAATAGAGATACTGCTCTAAAAATTATGTGCGATAGCTCATTGGATCCGGAATAACGCCTAGAAAAATGTGCGAAAAGCGTGTATTAGCACATAAAAAATTGCAAAAGTTATAAACAATTAAAGATGAAACAAAAATGGCATTTCGTTTTTTGCCAATATTTCATTAACTGTTAATATTTAAGAAATTTCAAAAAAAGATTCTAAAAGAGGAGGAAATTTCCAATAAAAAACTTTTGACTCCCGGAACTCTATTTCCATTATTTATAATTTTAATTTAACGCTGAAAATAGGTCTGCGCGCGACATTATTAGGTTGCACGCATGGCGTCAAAAGCGAGTACGGCACATTAATTAATTTATTTAAGGTATTGAATATATTTTTTTATTTGAAAAAATTATGGTGTGTTCTGAACACTATAAATAATTTATTCCCGTTGGAAATTTTACTTAAAGTTAATTTTTCAACAAGTTAAACCATTGTAACATTTACAAAAATTTTGTTTATTTGAATGTTGAAATTTGGTTTTAATTAAAATAATTAAAGAGATTTTCTTTTAAATTTGCTTGTAAAAGTCTATTTAAATGAAGTTTAATTTGTTTTGATATGAAATATTTAGGTAGGAGACTTCGTATAAAGGGATTTTCCGAGATTAGAGGGTCTAAAGTATAAAATATGAAATCCTATGTTGCTGCTAGAAACATAAGCGTGAGTTTTTCTGGGACTCACATAATTTAACAACGAAGGCGCATCCGCGGGCAAATACATGGTTAAATATTTTTTTTTATAAAAAATATAATAATAGAAGCCAATATTTTTTATAAATATAAATCCCATATGCCATAGACACTAAATTAGAACCTTAAACATCTATTTCCATATTTGGAACTTCATATCTGGAAAACTTTCATACAAAATTTCATTCCTCATTACACCTCTATACACGTATTTTCCTACATCCTTCATCGTATCTCACTTTCGCTGTATAAGGAAGTCTTCCTATTATGCTTTTTAGAAGCTTTAATTTAAATTTTTTTAAAGATATAAATATCATTCACTAACAAGATATAATTGAAAAGGTTTTATTTATAGTTACATATTATTTAATTTTTTTAAGTTCTTTTTGATTGGATAATATAATAATACCCAAAACAAAAGTTTCTAAAATTTTCATATATCCAGTAAAAATACTAATAACGATGATACCCTCATGTTTTTTAACGCAGATCCATATCTGCGTTAAAAAACAAAGCACCATTGCTTACTTAGAAAATCTAGTGTAAGGGGTTCATATCTGATATTTTTTGTGCGAATCATTTTAAATTTGATTTGTGTTATTTGTCTTTCGGTGAAGGTAAAATTCGTGAGGAAATCTCATGTCTGTATGAGCTCAACTAATTATATATAAAAGGCACGTGAAGTCCGCAAATAC